CGGAGAGAAGAAGCCCAAGAATAGATGGGACTAATAGTATGACATTCCATACTTAGTCCCACATCGAGAGTTCACAGTGATTTATAAGGGTTTAAATAATGAAGCTAAAGACTCAAGTATAGCATCAGCTAATCGATTTTAGCAATGGTTTGAGCCTACGTGCCTACGGATTGCAACGTGCCTACGGGCTACGGGCTCATGGGCCTGGTCCATGAGAAATGGTGTCAGAGTAATTTGCCAACTAGAATTGTGGGGTTAAGTGATACACCACGTGAGCGTAGTGGAAGCCACCTCTGGAGCCCGTGGGAGTCATATTGTCATGTGCTAATTGTCATGTCTAGAGTCCACATCGCCTGATGCTGATACTGGAATGTGCCAATTGTCATGTCACGACAATGACGTCGCCTTTATAGGGTGGGGTGATTGTGACATACCATATTTAGTCCCACATCGGGACTTTACAATAATTCATGAGCGTTTAAGTATTGAAGCTAGAGACTTAAGCGTAGCATCAGTTAGTTAATTTTGGTAGTGGTTTGAGTCAAATAACGCGTTACACTCAATGGGCCTCACGAATTGCAACGCCCAACGGGCTCACGGGCCCGGACGTGACTAGTAGTCTCGTTTAAATTATAACAATCAGATTAACATTAATTACCAATCACGACCTATTATTGGCCAGTCTTGACTACGTGATAAAAAAGAGATCGATTTTTCTTATTATTTAACAAAAAATCTTGTCCGTTAATTAGTTTTCAAAAAAGGTCTTCTTGAACAATATTCTTCCTCATAAGTATTAAAATCTTTTAGTCCTCTGAATTTACGGTCTCACCCTCAATAATGAGGAAACTTATAGCGATTCTGAGGGTCATGACTTATGAGTCAGCTCTTATATTAAATATTTCAGTGGGACTTGATTGTCACCGTTAAGAAACCAAACACTGCGCATGTTCAACTTCAAGGTCAGCAAGTATGAAGCTAAATCAAGATTACTAATTAAAATAACGGTGTAAATTTAATTTTGATGTTTCATAATCTATATTCAATTCTTTATGTGAAAAAACCAAGATATCTTTTAAAAAGACAAATTTACAGATCAATAAATCCTTTTATTGAACCATTTGAAAGTTTAGCAAGGTTATATAAGATACTCACTCCTTACTTGGTAATGCAGGAATGGGTGGAAATAAAGTGTCCATTCACACTTTCCACTAATGGGTACTGGGGATGGTAAATGATCGAATCGGATCGAATACTAAGGTGTTCATGTTTGTATTTGTTTAAAATTATCGAATTCGAATGTGGACTCTAATATTCATATATCTAGTTTTTTGAATTCGAACTCGAATACTTGGTAGTTGATATTCATGAATATTCACGAATACTTATCGAATATCCAAGTATATTTATTCCGCTAAAGAGTTTGATTTTCAAATAGTATTAAAATTCATAAATAAAAATTATTCCTTTATAATATATGATGCATATATATTTAAATCAAAAATTTAATTAGAAAACATATTTAAGATTATTTAAGTCTTAAAATCAATATATAAAACTTAAGTAGAAATGGTAAGTGGGTTAAAAATATGACATCATATGATTCATATGTGCAATAATACAAACAATAAGTTGTGATCAAATTTTAAACGAATATTTAATAGACAAACGAATCGAATATACATTTGGTTAAATTCTATTCGTTAACAAACTCGAATACTAAAAAATATTTGTTTAGTGATAAATGAACTACCGAGTCGAATATGACCGAATAGTTATTCGAACAATTATCGAACCATTTATTAATTATTTTGTTCATTTTCATCCCTAATGAGTACCCATCATAATTACTTTTTGGGAGCCGGGAGTACTCATTTCGACTTTTCATTCATTCCCAACGTACGAATATCTACTCCAAATGAGATGGAAGGAAACAAATATTCCCACTTAAATAGAGAAAAAATAAAGTATGAATTCCAAATTCTGTTGATTGCATATTGATTATCTATATATAAAAAAATGTCATTCTCACTTTATTATTTAATTGCATCCAAACATGAAAGCAAAAATGAGCGTTATATTAATTCTAATACTTACTCCATTCTTTTTCGTATTTTATTCCGTTTTCACTTGACTTATTCCAGTGTACTAATGAGGCACCAAAATTTGGAGGGGGTTCTCTGCGAAAAAAGTGAGAGGAGCTTTATGAAATTTATCCAAATTGAATAAAATGTTGATATGTTTTAGGGTAAATATCATAAAATCCTCTTAACTTTGGATGATTATTAGAAAAACCCCCTTAATACCCCATTGACTTTCAAAATATCATAGAACCCCCTTTAACTTGGAGATTTTATCAGTGGACAGTTTTCTGATAAAATCTCAAAGTTAAAATGATTTTTTTAATAAAATCTAAAAGTTAAAGGATAGTTTTGTGATAATTTTAAAAGTTAAAGGATAGTTTTGTGATAATCCTTATACTTATGGTGGCTTTTTTGATATTTTTAAAAGGGGGTTTCTATGGTAATTGTCCGAAGTTTATTATTATTATTTTTTTGGGGTTGTTGTTTTCTGCATAGAAATTTTCTAAACGAACTCATGTTAGCATCGTGACGAGAAAATGGGTCGATTTTTTTTTTAATCCGGTTCCTAAATAGTTGGGGTTGCCAACCTCGACTATTTAAGAGATTGCAAAACCCCAATTACAACTCTAAACCCTAACATTCTATGCACTAAATAGTCGGGGTTGACAACCCCCAACTATTTAGGAACCGGATTAAAAAAAAATATGTCGATTTTTGTAAAAAAAAAACTCTCAAGCTGATCAATTTTATAAAAAAAATGTGAATGGGTTTGTTTAGAAAATTTCTTCTTTTCTCTGCTATTTACCTTTTTTTTTTCACTAAATAAACTGCTTGCCTAGTTCTACCATATCCAGCTTGCCATTGGTTGGCAAACAAAAATTGAGGACACCCTCTCCATCTCTCTCTCTCTCTCTCTCTCTCCCCCCCCTCTCAAGCTCAAAGGAGATCCGCCTCCTTTTTTCCTCTCTCTCCTTTTACGAACTGAATCTCACGCTCACTCAGTTTGTATTTTAGTCTCCTCACCCAACTTTGAACCCATTGATTGTTTTACTGTTAAATTATTGCAAGCTCTCGAGCACTCACTGCGCGCTCCCTCTCTTATATATAATCGAAAAAACCTATGCCATCACCTCTCATCGCTCACCATCCCCATTGGTTGTTAACAAGACCAATGTGAGCTCGATCGTCCCTGTTCTCTTGCCCATTCTTGGTTCACTTCACTTTCTTCTCGTGGGTATTCAAAATTTGGGTTGTTTAACATGTGAAGCTGCCTCCTTTGGGTCTGTGCTCACCCATTTCTTTGCTTCATATTCTTGATTTGCTTCAGTTTTTCTTCTAGGATGTAAATTCCCCCCATTTTAAGCCTGTATTCTCCGTTTCTCTCTCTCATTCCTGATTTGCTTCAGTCCTTCTTCTCGTGGGCATTCTAGTTTTGGGGTTGTTAAGCATGTAAAGCTGCCTCCTTTTGGTCCAGTGCTCCATTTCCTCTCGTGGGTATTCTAGTTTTGGGTTATTTACCATGTAAAGTTGCCTCCTTTCTTGATTTCTCTTGCTCCGTTTCTTGATTTGCTTCAGTGGGTGTTCTAGTTTTAGGTTGTTTAGGATGTAAAGTTTTCTCATTTAGGCTTGATCTGGTTTAACATCGGTGGGCTGATCTCCTCCTCATGGATCTTCTTCGGGGAAATTAGCGTTTTGGGTGAACCATGTAAATTGCGGTTTGGTTTCTTCTATTTCATAGCCTCTGTTTGATTTGGTCTTCGTAAGATAATAATAATACATGGAGGAATCGTTTGTGCCTTTTCGCGGAATCAAGAATGATCTTCAAGGGAGGTTGTTGTGCTACAAGCAAGATTGGACCAGTGGGTTACGCTCCGGCATTGGGTGATTATAATTCTTCTCTAATTTATCTAGGGACCATTGAAGTCTTTATATTTGATGGGTGGTTATAAATTGTTGATGTAGGATTTTGGCTCCCACAACTTACATATTTTTCGCATCTGCTATCCCTGTCATATCATTTGGGGAGCAATTGGAAAGAAACACTGGTAACTTACGGAATGTTGTGATGCGAAGCTAGCTTTCTAAACTGCTAACCTTTGCTCTTTTTTTTCCCCCACTAATTTCGTTTGGTAAAACTTCCGACTGGTCAGATGGAGTTATTACAGCAGTTCAAACACTGGCATCCACGGCGATCTGCGGGATTGTACATTCGGTCATAGGGGGCCAGCCGCTGTTGATTCTCGGGGTAGCGGAACCGACCGTGCTCATGTACACATTCATGTTTAACTTTGTTAAGGATCGAGCAGAGTTGGGACCAAAGTTGTTCTTAGCATGGACTGGGTGGTGAGTTTTAATTTTAGCAATTTGACGCGCGATTGTGTTTAGGGTGTGCTATAATGCTCTTGCCACTACGATGAGCTATGTTTTTATACCATCCTGTTGCACCAAAATCACAAAGTTAACTTTATACTCTTATCAAAGTGTTGCTAGGTCCTACGCTGACCTTAGTAGTCTAAAAAGTGTGTGTTTTGGGCTTGCAGGGTATCGGTGTGGACTGCCTTCTTGTTGTTTTTACTCGCCGTCCTTGGCGCCTGTTCTATTATTAATAGATTTACTCGTATAGCCGGTGAGCTCTTTGGGCTACTTATTGCAATGCTTTTCATGCAACAGGCTATTAAAGTAAGCATTCAATTGATTTACTTTTCATTCTTTCATGGTCATAGCATCTAAATTGAAGTAGTATTGGACGTAGTACATTGAACAAAAGAAATTCTTCAATAAATTTACTTCTATGCATGTATATGCATCTATGAACGTAAATTTTTTGATTATAAGTAGGGCGGGGAGACGAGAAGTAAATTAGTGTCTGAAAATGATGCTCCTAGAATTTGATCCGTAAGATTCTAAATTGTTGGCTGGATGCTTTTAGGGTCTCGTCGATGAATTCAAAATACCTGAAAGAGAGAATCCGAAAGCACTAGAATTCGTTCCATCCTGGAGATTTGGCAATGGAATGTTTGCGCTAGTTCTGTCATTTGGCCTTTTAATTACTGCACTAAGAAGTAGAAAAGCAAGGTCTTGGAGATACGGAGCTGGTATGTATGATATTATTCACATAAATGTCCTTGGATGCAAACTAGAAGCTCAGCACATTTTTCTGCTACAAATTGATAATGAAATATTGACTGAACTTTAATTTGATAACACTTTTTTCAGCTACATCCTAGAGGATTTTCTTGTTATTTCTTTCACTAAAAAAAGTTTCGTTTAAATCAGTTATCTTTCTTGTTATTTCTTTCACCCAAAAAAAATAAAAAAAAGTTTCGTTCAGGTCAGTTATCTGATAAGTAAGTCTGACACAACCTAATTATTTGAATAGGGTTCTTTCTTTTATGAATTTTTCTTTCCCTTGCTTCATCTGTTTATTACCTATATTTAGTGGTTGGCTCTTTTCTCGCAACATCAAAATAATTGTAGATTCTCATTAATTGAAAGAGGCTAAACTACAACCCTTTATATAGGGATACAAGATAAAAGGTTTTGTGTTAAAGCAATGTGGGACTGAACATGCATACCTACTCTTATTCTCCCAATACACTAATATTTCTAACAAAGATCAATAAATATATCAGGCTGGCTTCGAGGCTTCATTGCAGACTATGGGGTGCCACTAATGGTTCTAGTATGGACCGGGGTTTCTTATATACCGTCTTCTAGCGTTCCTAAAGGTATTCCTCGGCGCCTTTTCAGCCCAAATCCTTGGTCACCAGGTGCATATTCTAATTGGACAGTCATCAAGGCATGATTTCTCAAACTTCATTTTGTAGATTTTTCACATTGCTTACTCTATGTAACATTATTAATGTTCAAGTCATGAACCAAACAGGAAATGTTGGATGTGCCGATTCTATACATAGTTGGAGCTTTCATTCCAGCTACAATGATCGCGGTCCTTTACTATTTTGACCATAGTGTGGCCTCTCAGCTTGCTCAGCAGAAGGAATTCAATCTGAGAAAACCTCCATCCTTTCACTATGACTTGCTTCTTCTAGGCTGTTTGGTATTTTTTCCATCTACCCCACATTTCCTTCTGTTTAGCTTTGATCTTTAGGCTTCATAAAATAATGCCTGTTTAAATTCTTTGTACCTGTGTCAGACTCTATTATGTGGCCTCCTCGGGATTCCCCCATCGAATGGTGTTATTCCACAATCTCCAATGCATACAAAGAGTTTGGCTACTCTTAAGCATCAGGTATGATATTATAGTTTTTCATTTTAGATTCAGAAATTTTCATGTTAATTAGGGATAGTAATGTCCTTGTTAATTAGGGATAGTAGATGGGTGCTAATATCCTATTCCCATTCACTCATTCCAATTCTCAACCACTCTCCAACCTATGCTATGTGAATGTGGACCCTGATTTCAATGAGTAGAGGGGAATATGCCATCTCACTACCAAGCACAAAAACTTGTGCTTTGTACCAAGCATACTCATTTTTCTCATACACACGCACACACACATAATCTTTCAAAAACTTTACACATTGACATGATTTAGCAATATGTAGAGAGTAACTTGTAATTAAACGTTCTTGATAACTCTATACCTATACTTAGAGCATGATCCTTCACATGGTACTGCTCTGTTTCTTCAAAGTTGAACACTTTTTGCAGCTGCTCCGTAATCGATTAGTAGGTACTGCACGTGAAAGTATGAGTCAGAATTCAAGCTTGAGCAAACTGTATGGAGATATGCAAGAAACTTATCAGCAAATGCAAACTCCATTGATCTACCAAGAGCCATCAGCCCGAGTATGAACTTTAGTTCACTTGTTATCATACATGTTCATACTAACACGTCCCTTCCCAATGTTTTAAATTATGTACATTTTCCATCCAGAGATTAAAGGAGCTCAAAGACTCCACAATTCAGCTGGCATCTAGCCTTGGAAACATCGATGCACCAGTTGACGAGTCAGTATTTGACGTAGAGAAGGAAATTGACGATCTTTTACCTGTCGAGGTTAAAGAGCAGCGTCTCAGTAACTTATTGCAGTCTTTGATGGTTGGAGGTTGTGTCGCAGCAATGCCTATTCTCAAAATGATCCCAACTTCTGTACTTTGGGGCTATTTCGCCTTCATGGCTATCGAAAGTTTGCCTGGCAACCAATTTTGGGAGAGAATTCTACTCTTCTTCACTGCTCCAAGCAAAAGATATAAGTAATTCTTCATATTGATTTGCTCTCATTGTTTCTTTTCTATGTTGCATACTAACAAATTGTTAATTTTGCAGGGTGCTTGAAGAGTATCATGCAACATTTGTGGAAACTGTGCCTTTCAAGACAATTGCTTATTTTACGCTTTTCCAGACTGTTTATTTGTTGCTATGCTTTGGAATAACTTGGATTCCTATTGCTGGAGTTCTGTTTCCTCTCATGATCATGCTTCTAGTTCCTGTGAGGCAATATTTCCTACCGAAACTTTTCAAAGGAGCTCATCTTACAGATTTAGATGCGGCAGAATATGAAGAATCACCGGCATTGCCATTCAATTTAGTAACAGTGAGTTCTTTGATTAAATCTATGAGTACCTTACCTTTGTTAAACTCAACTATAACGAATTGCTTCGTCTGTTTCTCGTAACTTGAATAATAGCCAAGGAAATATCATATTTCTATAAGGTACAACTATATGTCCTACTCAGGTCTTTTTATATCTTGAAAACTTCATATTTCAGAGGAATCCTTCTTCGGCATTTCCATATTATCCCCGTAAATATATCTAAAATCAAATTTGTAATTATAATTTTATATAGGGTAAATTTCAAAAAATTATCATGAATTATTAGGGGTTTCATAGTAAAATATCATTATCTATTTTTATTAGAAAAAATGCTGCAAATATTTAAATTTGCAGTAAATATCACAAACTAGGAGTACCAGAAAGCTATGAAGCACGGACACACATAACATGAAGCCATGTCGTGTCGTGTCCGTGTCGGACACACGTGTCGAACACGTATCCTATGTATTTTTTAGGATTTGTCTCGTGTCGGCGTGTCGGATGGCCATGTCGGATCCGTGTCCGTGCTACATAGCCAGAAAGTACCACATACTATTAGAACAACACCTTGAATGTTGGTAATTATCTTTTCAATAGGAGGAATACCATTCTTTGTGGGTAATTTTCGATGCTTTATGGTATTTTCTACAGATGGAAAAAAAACAGTGGTATTTGTTCTCTAAGAAAAATTGTTTAAACTACCACAAACTTCTAATGTTTCATGGTAGTTTCATGAAATTTACCATTCAATATCACGAGACAGCAGTGTGTCACTTAAATGTCCCCCATTATTTCCACAATCTTTTCCAACAGAACTGTATGCTTTCGTACAGGAGATCGAGTCTGGGATGATACATTCATTTGCTCAGACCAGAGATCTTCTAGATGAGATGGTAACAAGAAGTCGTGGTGAGATCAAGCATATAAATAGTCCCAAACTTACTAGTTCTAATGGCACACCAGCCTCGGATTTAAAGGGACTGCATAGCCCTCGAATGAGTGAATTGAGGCAGATAGCAAGTCCTCGTTTTGGGGCAATATCGCCTTTCAGTCCAAGGAATGGAGAAGCAAGGCCATCTAAATTGGGGGAGGGTGTTCGAGGTTCAACTTCAAAGCAGTAAGGAAAAAGAAAACTATGCGTTCTTGCCGCTTTGGTTGGATCCTTTGTTGTTAACGTCCATGAAGTGAAGATATATGTTGGTTTTGGTTTCTGTTATCATGTAAAATCTTGAGCCTTCTAGTTTTCATTGTAATATTGGAATCACATGAAAATAGAGTTAGCAGTGGCGATGCTATTATTTGTCTTAGCATTTGTATTCTTTTACTTGTATGCATAATGAAATACTATCAATTTCCTTGTTGCTGCTTAATGAAATATCTTACTTCTTGTGTTTGAGTTCTATTCTGATATTCCTTATTTACTAGTCATGTGACCCTTGTGGTGGAGTCTGTTTCTTGAAAACATTTTCATAAATCCTTTCCATGAAGATTAAATCCTAGGTGTCCATAATACACTACAACCTTAGCCATTAGCCATTAGCCTGCACTAGACTCGACCAAATGGACTTGCACCACTCAGCAAACAACAACAGACAACAACTATTTCTAAGTCAATGACCTGATTAGTATCTCATGCATGACCTGTAGTTTTCTGGATTCCTATCTTTACAATGACTCGAAGGAGCAACAGAAGTAACAAGTCTCTGTGTGACAATTTAATTTCTAAATGAGTATACATGCATGTATACCTAAATATTTATTAGTGACTTAGTGTATACTATTGGTTCAACATTTGCATATTATGCACGACTCTCGCGCGCGCGCGCACTCGCGCGCGCGCACTCGCGCGCGCACACTCGCGCGCGCACACACACACATATATATATACAAAAAAAATTGCGTGCTCTTAAAATTTTGTTGGATAATGATATGCGACAAAACAAATATTTCCAAATGTACACACATATTCATGTGTCTGCTATTATATCTACATCTAATACTTATATGTGCATACAAGCAACAGACAGTTGTATGTGCAAGCATCCATCCACAGATGTGAGCTTCAAATGCAACTTCCCACACTAAAAATGATCATCTTGTTAAGAATCTAGAACTTCATCAGATGATAGCCATGTAATCATCAAATTTAACCAGACAAATAACTGCTGCAATAATATAACACCATGAAGTCAACAAGAAGATTTACCAAGAAGAGATTGATACATATTGACAATATTCTCGTAAGGTCTTCAAAAGCATTTGTATAGGGTGTACACATGATATATTCAAAAAAATTATTGTAATTACAAATACAACTTTGATATACTAAAAAATATGGATCAATCACCCTCTGCTTATCTCTTCTGAAAGTTTAATACCTTGATGGAGAATGTGAAAACAAAAAAGAAAGTGATGGCGAAAGCAGCATTAAGAAGTGCAACATGTTTGAGGAATTCGTACTCATAACCAAAAGAATTCTTCAGAAACACCTTAACTGGAACACTAGCTTGACCTGGTATCTCCAGCAAAGACTCTAGGTCCCCAAATTGGGATGTCATGATTCCATCGAGTATCCAAGCTGCTGGTGAAGCCCAATAGTACCATCTCAACCAGATTGGTGCGAGCTACAATATATAATAGTAAATACCATCAATAAGAAAAGAAAACAGGGAAAAATAGAGGGTTAATTGTGGATAGACCCCAATAGTGTTAGAATATTAATATAAAACAATAATTCTTGACCCTCACCATAACTTTAGAGTTTTGGTTAGCAAGATTTAATTTAAGATGGTATCAGAGCAACCCAGGTTCAAATCCCACCGGCCATGAATTTAAAGAGAATTTTCTAACAATTAGCAATGTTGTGTGAGTCCAGGTTTCAACCCATAACAAAAGGGCGTTCAACTTGCGGGGGCATGCTAGAATTATTAATATAAAACTATAATCATCGACCATCACCATAACTTTGGAGTTTTAGTGTAATGGTTGGAGAGAGTCTAGTTTAATATTAATTCTAATATGCCCCCGCAAGTTGAATGTCTTTTTCTTATGGGCTGAAACCTGGACCCACGCAGTTATGTAATGGTTAGAAACTTAGAGGGCTTTAATTTAAGAAGTAGGTCTATTGTTGCTGATATATTCCTGAGGGAATTTTCTTCGAGTCTTTTACCCTCAGGAGGTCTATTTGTCAAAAATACAATTTCCTCTTTCTCTAAGGGTAAAAGAGTCACAAAATAATCACTCATGGAGTCTATCTGCAACGATGGAACTACATGGGGTCTACCTGCATATGGATGATAGTAACACGGTTCTACCGACAAATAATCCAAAAATAGAATATGCATGCACTTCAATGGATTTCTTTTTACTTACTGGTTTAGGTACAATGAAACCTGAGAACAAGCTCCATAAGCCAGAGAAGAAAGCCATTAATATGGATGCTAATTGTAGTCCTGAAGTAAGGGCCAGCAACATCATACCACATAATGTGAATGTGACAAAGCACATGAAGTTGAAGTATATGAACCAAAAAAGCTTCTCTACTTGCCAACTAAAACCGAGCATAAAGAAGAGGAGAACACCATAGAGAAGGCTTTGCACTGCTACATATAATATCTCTATGCTTACCTGCCACAACAAAAAAAGAACAAGAGTTTACAATTTTTTTCTCTTTTTTCCTTTCTTCAAATGTTTAAGGCTATTAAAGCCTGTTCTGTCTATGGATTCAGAGATAGAGACTCAACGACTGAACAAATAAAGTTTCAGTGAAACTTCAAGGACTTACTAGAGCCAGTGCATATGGCAGAGCTGAGTACATCCCTGTAGCCTTTTCGCGGTAAAAGACTACCCTCTCAATGAGCACCACAGATTGCACTGCAGTTGCATTATTGCCTCCTAAAAAGAAAATCGATGCATACATTGCACCCATAATATTAAACAGGTCTTGTTGCTTTTTCCTGTTAAGAAAGGTAAAAGTGATCTGAGAAATCTATCAACACAGAAATCACATATGATATATCAAGAATATAACAAAGGAACTGTGCTGAAGACAAGAATCTTTGATTTGGACTGCAGTATTTGAATTTAAAACACCTTGAATGAACTTCCGTAGCAATGAGAAAAACCAAAGACAAACTATGTGATACGCCTTTCTCAAGAACTACATCTCATATTAACTCAGGGTACATGAACGACAGCAAACTCATGTAGGCAAGTGTTGTGCGCCGCGGAAGCCCTAAATTGACAAATCGAAGGCACACACAAGACAATAGTAGACCACAAACCAATGCAAGCCAACCAATCACAGCACAAACACAAGATATACGTGGTTCGGCAATATGCCTACGTCCACGGGGCAAGGAGAGGGAAACTTTACTAGTCAAATCAAAGGGGAGTACAAGTTAGGGTTACAAATCTTACCCAAAACCCTCAAATAAGACCAAAAGATCTCTCAAATAGACTCCAACAATAGAAGCCCTCAAATCTCCCTTTGCTCAGCTCAAAATCGCCCAAACTCTAACCCTAAAAACGAGTTTAGGGTATTTATACAACTCCCAAGCGAAACGGGTCTGGAAACCTGAACCAACTGAAACCCGCTTCGTCGGTCGACCGGGTCGGTCGACCGCGATCAATTCCGGTCGACCGACCCGGTCGACCGACCACCTCCAGCAGAACCCCGAAAGAATCCAGAGAGCCGTCGGTCGACCGGGCCGGTCGACCGACCTCCTTGTGCACGAATCCGGTCGACCGGACCGGTCGACCGCCACCTGTTTTTCCTGATTCTGCTGCTGATGCTGAAATTCCTTCAATTCTCCACCTCGGCGAATGTTTCCACCAAAACTGAGCCGACACCAAATAGTTCCTCAACAGGTCCAGGAACAATACTCGAGCTGAAACACGATCTCCCCCAATCTTGATCAACTGATCAAACCGGCTGCATCTAAAGACTGCCTACGTATCCTCTTGCCCAAGGAATCAAGCCGAACGTAGTTCATCCAAATGGCCGCCAACGGCCTCAACAACGAAGAATGTTCAATAAATTCAAACAGTGACCAAACTTCACACCTGGTACAACTTTGGTCAACATATCAGCAGGGTTATCCTTAGTGTGGACCTTCTCCAACGTGACATCACCATCATCCAATACGTCACGTACAAAATGAAATCTGACATCAATGTGCTTCGTGCGAGCATGGTAGACTTGGTTCTTCGCCAAATAGATAGCTGACATACTATCACAATGTACCTGAATGGTCTCCTGTGCAATCCCCAAATCATCCAACAAGCCATGTAGCCACAAAGCCTCCTTCACTGCTTCAGTCACCGCCATATATTCCGCCTCCGTAGTAGAAAGCGCCACTGTAGACTGAAGAGTGCATCGCCAACACACCGGTGCACTAGCCAATGTAAAAACATAACCTGTAGTGGACCGACGCTTATCAAGATCTCCAGCATAGTCAGAATCCACGTAGCCAACACAATCCTGCCCTGTCTCATCATTCTTCGCAAATATCAACCCAACATCCACGGTACCCTTAATATACCGTAGAATCCACTTCACGGCCTCCCAATGCCCCTTCCCGGGGTTGTGCATGTACCTAGATACCATGCTCACAGCCTGTGACAAATCTGGCCTCGTACACACCATAGCATACATCAAGCTACCCACTGCGCTGGCGTATGGAACCTTGAACATGTAGTCCCTATCCTCTACTGAAACTGGTGACATCAAAGCTGAAAGCTTAAAGTGGGGAGCTAATGGAGTACTCACCACCTTGGTATTACCCTCAAAACTGAATTTCTTCAGCATCTTCTGCAAGTAACTCTTCTGTGTAAGCTTCAATCTCCCCTTCACCCTGTCTCGCTCAATCTCCATACCAAGTATCTTCTTAGCCTCTCCCAGATCCTTCATCTCAAACTCAGATGACAACTCCTTTTTCAGTTTCCCAATAGCTGAAGTGTTCCTGGAAGCTATGAGCATATCATCAACATACAATAACAAATAAATATGCTCACCATCCTGTAGCTTGCGCATATAAACACACGGGTCATAAGGGCTCCTCGTGTATCCTCGGCCAATCATAAAGCTATCAAATCTCTTATACCACTGTCGCGGTGATTGCTTCAGTCCATACAGAGATTTTCTCAATTTGCACACCAAATCTTCTCTTCCTGCAGCTTTAAACCCCATTGGTTGTGTCATGTAGATCTCCTCATCTAAATCTCCATGTAGAAAGGCCGTCTTCACGTCCATTTGGACCAAATCTAAGTCCAGCTGTGCCACCAATGCCAATAGTATCTGAATCGACGAATGCTTCACAACGGGTGAAAACACCTCATTGTAGTCAACGCCCTCAAGCTGTGCATATCCCTTGGCAACCAATCTGGCCTTGAATCGAATGTCCCCAATAGAAGATCCCTCTTTCTTAGCATACACCCACTTGCAACCAATAGCTTTCTTACCCTTCGGTAGCTTTGCAAGTTCCCAAGTGTCGTTCTTCTGAAGAGATTGCATCTCCTCCTCCATAGCATTCCTCCACCTAATGGAATCAGGGCTGGACTCTGCCTCCCTGAATGTGGCAGGAATCAAATCATCAACGACCTCCACCGATAAAGCATATGCCACCATGACATCATCATATCTAGCTGGCCGACGAATCTCTCTCCTCGGTCTGTCTGCTGCAATAGACCCCTGAGCATGACCCTGCTCCTGAGTCTCACCATCCACTGTATCCTCCTCATGCCCGACTGTCATCTCATCTCCTTCATGTGTCACCTCTGTAGGAGTCTCAATAGGAACAGTGCTAACTGGAGTGGGTGGAGTCACATCATACTCCACCTGCTGCGATATCCTCTCTGTCTGATCTTCCTCCACCTGCTGAGGAACTCGAGGCTTCATCATGTATGCCTCATCGAATGTGACATCTCTGCTAATGATCATCTTCTTATCTTGTGGATCCCATAACTTGAAGCCTTTTACACCTTCTCTAAATCCCACAAAGATAGCCTTCCTCGCTCTCGGATTCAACTTCCCATCACTAACATGGAAATAAGCTGGACACCCAAAAATCCGAAGAGTCTCATAATCACTAGCCACAGAACCAGACCAACGCTCCAAAGGAGTCTTCCCCTCTATCGCAGTGCACGACAACCTGTTAATGAGATGGCTCGCATAAACTAACGCCTCGGCCCAAAAAGATCTAGCCAATCCACTCTGCGTCATCATACATCGCACCTTCTCCAGCAAGGTACGGTTCAACCTCTCTGCCACCCCCATTCTGTTGCGGTGTCTCTCTAACTGTGAAGTGTCTTCTAATGTCGTGATCCCGGCAAAACTGCAGAAATGGATCACTCTTATACTCTCCATCATTGTCTGAACGAAGAGTCTTCACCTTTCTACCTGTCTACAGCTCCACTTTCTTCTTCCACTCCACAAATATATCCAGGACCTCATGTTTATGCTTCATGGTATATACCCAATTCCTCCCGGAATAATCATCAATGAAAGTGACGAAATAGTTTGCCCCACCAAGCGATGTGTGCTTAGAAGGGCCCCAAACATCTGTGTGAATGTAGTCTAATATACCTTGGGTGTTATGAATTGCGGTGCCAAACTTCACTTTAGTCTTCTTCCCAAGTATGCAATGCTCACACATATCCATCTTGCAGGTCTTTGCACCTTTCAATAGCCCCTGTTTTGCCAATGACTGAAGGAACTTTTCACCTGTGTGTCCAAGCCTCATGTGCCATAGTGTGGTAGTGTCCTCCTCTGTGGTAATAGAAGCTGCCAGACCCCCTGTAACTGTCTTGCCCTTCAAGTAGTATAGGTTGTTTTCCCTGACACCTCGCATCACCACCATAGAACCCTTCATGACCTTCAAACTAGCATCTTCTAAGATCACTCTATAGCCGGATGCCTCCAAAGTCCCAAGAAAAGCATCTTCTAGGATCACTCTATAACCGGATGCCTCCAAAGTCCCAAGAGAAATGAGGTTCTTCGTCAACTGTGGCACGAACCTCACATCTTTCAATTCCCTAGTCACCCCATCATGCATTCTGATTCTGACTGAGCCAATCCCACTAATAGGACAAACGTGATCGTTCCCCATGAGCACCACGTCTCCTCTCTTCAACTCCTCAAAGTTGGTAAACCAATCCCTCTTAGGGCAAATATGAAATGTAGCTCCCGAATCAAGCATCCACTCCGTAGAGTCGGCATAACAAACTGACGGCAGTGCGGGACAAGAATAACCGGAAGAATCCGAATCTGAAATGTCGCCAACAACCTTAGCAACATTAACCTCTGAAGCTTGTACAGCTTTCCCCCTTTGCTTCCCGGCTCTATCCTTCAACTTTGGGCACTCATTCTTCCAATGTCCCTCTTCTTTGCAAAAGGCACATTGATTTCTACCAACACTTTTATGGCCACCCCTATTCTTTGATTTTGAGCGGTTGAACTTCTGACGATTTGGACTACGGCCACGAACTGCTAATGCATCACCCGATGCCTTCTCAGAGGGCTCACCATCATTCTTCCTCAGCTCATAGTTCACCAATGCCGAGGTTACCTCCTTGTAGCTAACTGTAGTTCGCCCATTTATCATAGTGAGAACAAAAGTACTAAACTCATCATCCGGCAACGAACACAATAGTAACATCGCCTTATCTTCATCTTCCACCATGATATCAACATTGGCCATATCCGAAATAAGCTTTGTAAAGTTATTGACATGCTCCCGAATGGAAACCCCTCTCTTCATCTTGAATTGGTAGAACCTCTTCTTCAAATGAAGCCTATTCTCAATGCTCTTCGTCAAATATTTTTCATTGAGCGTTTCCCACAATCTCTTTGCCGACGTCTCATTCATCACATCATAAATGAGATCCGGCGTTAGGCATGATCGAATAACTCCACAAGCCCTACTGTTCATTTTCTTCCAAACCCTATCATCAATCT